GTTTCGGTAATAAATGAATATGGATCGACCTGACTCGTGCCTCGGAAATGCACTCTAAATTGATTCCAGAATCAAGTTATTAAACTTGGCTTGCACCCAATACTAAATTTATAAACTCACTCAATAGTTGCATTGATGACATCTGTCATTCTTTGATTATCAACTTTTGCCAAATATCCTCCCAGTGAATCACAGGCAGCTTTCGCTGCTTCGTAATACTTTGGGGAAGAATTGAAAAAAGTTAGTTCATACTGATCCACACATTTTGTTGTCCATGTAACTATATAGAAACAATTTAATAATAAAGTTGGCAACACTGTAATCAAAAGAATACTTATCGACCGGTCGGTGATATTAGTCAAAAATTCTTGCTAGTCGAGAATTTGTTAAAACGTAAAAACATCACTATAGTTTTACTGTAGAATACTTAGATGAAAATTAGAATTAGCAACGGAATCACAAGTATGAAAACGTGCAGTAGTGCAATTCTTTCTTATCACTTCTATAAAAGATTGGTTTGCTTAGTTCAAACAATGTTGCTTTACATCTGTAATATAATCAGGTAATCTTGTTTATTTCAGTGTTCGCAAATATCACTAAGATCAAATACATATTTATATAAATATTGCATTGCGTGTTGCATAAAACGTGAAAATAACAACATATATTCATACGTGCCATTTATCTTACCTTGTGCGTCAGATACTCCAAGTATAGGAGAGATGAGGATACAGAGTATTAATATTCCCAACGCGTTCATTTTTGCTGCATTTTTCTTTATTTAACAATAAACACCTGATTATAGTTTTTCCCGGTTAATTCTGTAAACTATATAGGACGTGGACTTTGATGCACAGTGTTTTCCAAGATTTTTAATTGCTAAAACTTTGCTTTAAAGTAATGTCAAAACTTTTAATCGATTATAGTGAATTAATGACTATCGTAACATCGTATCGTTTTACGAATCTTATATTCATAAATCTCTCTCTTCAATAAGCTGTCAGTAATCTGGTTTGGTCATATTTACCATATACATTTATGTAAAAATAACCTCAAAAACAGAATAAACTGCTTAAAATAGTGATGAGTTTATGTGATTAAGATATTGAGTCAGGTAAATTTTTTTTTAAATTATATACATACGAAAAAATACAAATATAAATGGTGGGCCAAAACATTTTACCATCTTTGTAATTTTGAACATTGTGAGAATGTAAAAAATGGTAATATGTTTGGCGCACCCTGTGTATAAATAAACAAAAGGACTTTTGAAATAAATAAATAAAATAAAGCCAGAAGTTTCGTTGCAATCCGCGTAAAGCCGTCTGATGGCCGGCATACGTATATAGGCCTTTATAACAACATTTTAAGGTCCATCTGGTCGTGTCTTATCTTTTACAAATGTATGGCTGGGTCGGCCATATTTAAATATATATATATGTTGTCACAAAATAGTAGTATATATAGATAAAACCATGCTACAAAAACGCGGCATATCATGGCTGTAATTTAGAAGAAAATCTATGGAGTGATTTCGATTCGAAAATGACATATCTGCGATTTTTCATCTCAATACCTGCCGTTCAATCCCATTGCTTCGAAACACTATCACTAACGTCACTAATCTACTATAAATTGCGACCGTTTTCACATTTCACTTCTATTATTCGCAAATAACTTCGTTCAAGATGTCGACCTGCGTCTGTCAGTACAACATCAAAATTAATTTATGATATGATATGATTAATTGCGAGACAATACCAACTTCCTTTCACATTTCACTTTTATTATCTGCAGATAACTTTTTCAAAATTTCGACATCCGTCGGTCAGCACATCAACGAACATTAAATTTATGATACCTACTAATTGGCGCTATCATATGTTGCAAGACGATATCAACTTTCTTCTAACCCGGTCAGGAGTAATAGTCAGGCAGGGGCATGTCTTATCACACCATTGATGATGTTTAGGATACGTAGGCATGATTACTGGAAATACCAAAACAATGATGCTCTTTGTTGACTCTGGTATGGTTAAGCTATGTGGCTTCTCCTACGCGCTTCTAATGTAGTGAAACGAAATGCATTTAAAATGCACACACACCGGGTTTATATTAACTAATTTTCAAGTGTGCTATAAAATATTTTGTGCAATAATGTGTTACACTATTTTTGGACACAAAGTGGATATAGATTCATTATATAAAATATGGATTGTATTGCTAAATTGTTGATGTTGTTAAAATATTGCTTTTCTCCACAACTGATGGGCTAATTTTCAGTACTTAGAAGGTCACTGTTTTTTCCGAGGCCTACAGCGCCCGATATGTAAACACCAAAATTGTGCTGTTTTATTTTAATTCATGAAAACTTTATTGACATTTGACCTCCCTATACATATATTTGCATTGCTCTCTTATTATGAAGATGATAATATATCTTATATATAGCTATGTCACATAAATTTCAGAAACGTATTAGTCGTATTATTAACTCAATCTTGGCCGAAGACCTTATTAATTTTGTAGAGAGAGCACAGGAAATAATTGAAATAAAAGGATGGAGATTGGGTATCATGACCGGGAAATGAACTAGGCAGAAACAATGCATTATAGCATCAATGAAACCTTACTCAATATTCAATTTGTTGAAGAATGTGATCTTATTTCTGATATGAAAAATATACTCGATGCCAACCTTCTTAAAAATATGACTGCGTACACACAAACAGTAAATACAATTCTTGATTTACGTATATTTATATTCTTGATTTATGGCTTCTGAAATGATTTTGATCAAAATTTGCTTATGACATAATTTCATACTCGCGCATCGGCATAACATCTATTACGCATTATCTACTGGATCTTGTGAAATTTATGAAAAAGATTTGTTACTTGTCTTCAACTGGAAAAGCAGCTGCCTAGTCTTTCCGATTTCAGTAGTCTCGTTGGTGCGTTGTTTTTTCTGTGACTAAACGTTTTTGTCAACAACTAGAGAATCATTCTACTTAAATTTTCCGCACTATTATTTTTATTTTTTGTGTGCTCAATATTTTTTTTTTTTCATTTTATTGATTTCATGAAAATAAAATCCAAGGCAATAATTTTGCTCTTTTAATTATGACATATTATTCCACTTTTTATTATGTAAAGCTAATTTGCCCCGGTCAATTGCATACTTTATTTCGATATTTCTTTTTTTATTTTATTTTTTTTTCCATTGTTTTCATATAAGTAAAATTATAGACAAGCGTATAAATTGATATTACAAATGCATAACATATTTATTTAACATGATTTCACAATTTCAATTATGACATATTATTCCACTTTTAATTATGTAACGGTAATTTGCCCCGGTTAATTGCATACCTTTTCTCGCTTTCTTTTTCACTTTGGATAAAGTCAACAAAAATGCCAAATATTGGAAGAATACGTTGCAGTTTACATCGATATATAAAAAACGAGCACAAATTAATATACAATTGATTAACATGTTATTCGGAGGGTTAAAATAACCTAGAAAACATTCTTTTTTGTCCAGAGTAATTGTGCTCAATATTTCATTTAAAATTTCCTATTCATGTGTATATTGCGCCACCGCGTGTCGGTCCTATTCACCTTGTTTGACAACGAATGGAACAGGGAATCCTACGAACTACACAGTGGAATATTATTCTGATATCGGTGTCTATTCTGCCTGGTTAAAATGTCAATAAAGTATCGCAAATAGTGTGTAGAATTAAATTCACCTTAACACAGCTATTCGCCGACTTCTCATTCGCCAGCCTACGATGTGAAATGCTCTACGTGTGTCTAACTAAACTACTAGTACTGTTTCTTCGCTCAATTGTTTCAGCCTATTTGCATGGGAAAATAATGCTCATTTATGTTTATGAAATTATGCAATCAGTGTACTGTGATTAAAATACCGCTGTATTTCTAGAACGAATTCATGCATACGTTCGTGGCAGAGATACTACGAAAAATACAAATATGCGATACATTGAAGAAAAGTACAGAAACAGTTTGATTGAATGGCCATTTAAATTATGATTCCCATTCCTCTTATAATCAAAAATGAAAAAAATACAGAAAATATGTCAAACATTCGAACTTAGAATATACCTTTAATTTTAATCACATATATCTGTATAAATACTATATAATAATACAAATTAAAGTTTCATGTCGTAACAAAAAGTTAAAAGTTTGAATAAAGATCAAATGATAGCTTGGATAGATGAAGCATAATTTGTATTGGAAAATTTGTATTGCTCCCGAAATAAAATAAAACTATGTATTGAAACCAAAGAAGCGATACGAGCAGAATACATGTAAAAATTAACCAGTGTTTTCAAGCCTTCGAATTAATCTTGGGTATTTTCGTAGTTTATTTTCAATCAACTTGAGGGCTATATGCAAATCGCACTTCCACTTTCGCATTTTTTTAATTATGAGGTGTTTTACATCTTTCTTCGTTTCATATGGGGCTATGTTCGCGTATTCGCGTACAACTATTGATTATACAAATTTATTATGTCTATGAAGAAATCCCGGGTGACGCTTACGGTTGTAAATGTATGTGGGAGGAAAGATAATTGAACCCTTCATGTAATTATTAGATCATATTTTTGATAACAGTGCCGTACATTGATACCTCGGTAGTAGAACGACTCGATACTCGAACAATTCGGCGGTCGACAAATAAATTCTAGTCCTAAATACTGCGGTACTCGAGCGAAAATTCGGTGCTCGAACACCCAAGCGCCCTCGAGTGATATGACGTCACCTGAATCTCGGTTGCCTATTGGCCATTTAACAAGAGAGCGATGTTAAAATATATGGACACGAAGACCTCGGTGTGTATTGTGAAGGCCGCACGCATTTTCTATTCAACATTTACTCGCGAGGTATCTTTAAAGGCTCACTTACAAGATCAAGTAGTTTGAGCTTCTCTAGTGTCAGCTATTGGTGGTTTGTGAAATTAGGACAATTACTTCACCACCAGGAAGAAATGCAGTGCTGATTATACTCACAGGACATATGTTGTTGACTTTTGGGAAGCTTTTTCCCTATTAGACACTTTCAAGTACCGCTTTTTGATTTTCTATATTGCAGTATAATGAAATGCACAGAATAAACAGAACTAATTAAGTCGTTTAAAATAATGTATATATATATGACAATACATGTTTACGGCATAGCATAAGGAGCTTAATACGCTCTGAATGAGCAAGTGAATAGAGACCAATAAATGCTGGGTCCGGCTGTAACATAGAAATGTCGATCGACACCAACATGATTGTTTACAAAGTGTTTTATAAAATTCAACATTTTTTTTTCATTTCATGATGTTCGAGTAGATACTTCATAGCTGAAGTTCATTAAGTGTTGTAAGTTTCGTAAGCTGATTCCACTTGTGTTGGTATACATGTCGTAGGTAGAGCTTGTTCGTAAACGATAGTTTCCTGTAGCACGTTCGAATATGATGGTTGAGAAACTGGGTTGTTGGAGAAAGTTGCTGATTAATTGAAAAAAAAGTTCTTTTAACAACTACAGCAAAAATATCAATTAAATTTGAAATATTGACGAATAGATGGCTCAAAGTGAGACACCTATTTAAATAATTTCCAATAATTTCTTTTTATCATTTAAGAGCAAATGAAAAAATAATGCGAAATATAACGTTTGTATGACTTAACGATACAAAAAATATTAGACCCATCTTTGTCATATTTTAGTAGTCTTGGATAATAGGAATGACTCCTGAGAAGGCATTTTCTCGTGTTCTTCCAAATTCACTTAATTTTATGTTCAAATATTTTTGCATTGATGATGAAAGGAAAGCTGGTGAATGTCATATGTACTTGCTGAATGTTTAGAATATTCTATAGGTTGACAAGAAATAATATTCTATGCGTGAAAGGGAGATTTTCGGATCACACTACCTTTTTCTTGTATAGTTTCGTAATTATGTTCTTTCGCTTCTGCATTTTTCTTCAACTTCTTTATCTGCTTCATCTGTTTGTATATGATTAAGGCAAAGACTACGCAGAAGATCAAAGGAATAAGAAAACCGATCACAAAGCTGACAATGTTGAACTCGAACGATTTTTTTCCTATAACTTTAACAAAAACTTGAATATTAGAAATTTCTCAAATAATATTGAAAGTCCTATATATTTCATTGAGTGTTTCCCAAATCTTCCTGTGTTTCAAGGAAATGAACAGTTTTGTGTCTCACGTCAACTGGTTACTGTCATAAACGTTCGATTGGAATATTATAAAGTCCTCGGAACATAATCAGTTAGTATTTAATTACCTTTTCCCTTGAACTATTACCTGAAACTTGATTCTGATTTAGGTTTCGGCCGAAATCATACATCAACAAATTAACACGGTTCTCTAATATCGAACCTTTAATAACAAAAAAACTGCCAATATATTTATCCTATGCCCGATGGTATTTTCACGCTTTTTGCTCTGTAAATACAAGCACTGTAACTTGATTTGCGAAATCTATGCAATTTATTTAAGATAATGCACAAACCACTCTCCATGAATTTTATATGAATGCCTGAATTCTCGTGATTACTTCCAATTGAGTAGAGCAAATGTAAATATTTGTGATTATAATAATTGAATTTATACCCGTTGGATTTCCTATACAAGAACTTTTGTCAGGCCAAAGGCAACTAAATATTTTCATAGATGCCGAATAATTACGATTTTGTTTAGGTTGAAATGAATACACGTACCCTGGTTCGTTTTTCCATAATTGCATAACCTTATTTGTTTCGGGTCTCGTTTCCGCTAGTATCGCCTATTTACGCAAAGGATAAACCTATATAATATATATTTTTTATTTGATGCTGTCCTCTCCTGGAATCTATTCTATTTGTACTATTTCTACCCTTCGAAAAGGGCTTGTGATCATGTTTTCAGAATAAAAGAGAAATTTTAAAAATAGCTCACTCAATAGAATTAACGGACTCGCTAGCAAGCAAATATCATTTTCACAAGGCGTTGTTGACACGACGAATACACTACAGAAAGAAATGTGAAATAACTTATTAAATACGGTTTGAGATAAAAATAGTTTAAACAGCAGCGCGTTCGTTATGCACATCTTGTGTCAAACATTGGTATTTTGACTCTTGTATCGTCGAATAAAAAACTAGCATACCTGTAAGATTTTTCTCTGTTAAGTTTCCGATTCTGTCCTACAAATATTGCATTCTCTCCGACATTTCTCCGCCGCCTTCTCTTCTTAGACAAGGCATCGATTGTTTGAGTGACGTTACAAGATGATTTCGAACCATCGCCAAGATTGATGACTTTTTTATCGCCAGTAAATCTGCCACGATGATAGAATGGTTAAAAAGGAGAAAAATAAAAGCAGGTGCTAGAAGTTAGAAGTAATAATTTAGCGGAGACGGGGTCTGTTACATGTGAAATTGTGAGATCAAACCATATCTCTGTATAGGTAATTAATGTTTCATTTCACGGAAATTCCAGTCTGTAAGTCATCAGCAATTTTCAATCTGTAAACTTATTTGATTACTGTCCATGATTATCATATAATAACAGTCATATGTGCTGCGTTTACGGCGTACCTGTAAACTGGAAACGCTACGGCGATATATTCTGTTGTTGAGCTCTGTGCCTTGATCAAATCCTCCATCCTAAAATTTGTGTTTTCGTCAGACCATCCATCATTTACGATGATAAATAAACAGCTAAATGTAATGAAAATATTTAGAAAATAAACAAGAGAGCAATGTAAAATTTTACTGACACGAAGGTCAAATGACTAATATTATCACCGCATTACCAGCAAATTTCCAGCCAAATGTTAACAGTATTGTGCTGAAAGTGATATTATTTGTACCGAAAGTTGTATAAAAGTGCTTACGTAAATTATAAATAATAGAAAAATTTGGGCACAATTATCAGGCACGAATGACCCAGAGAAAATTAGAAGAAAAAAATAAAATTTCTAGCCTTTGAGGGTCCATTTTTAACTGCAGAAAATTAAAAAAATCACTTTGTCCGTGATTTTCAGAAAAAAGCCAAAAAAAAAAAATTACTCATATTCGTTGCGCAAAAGTGTAAACAACTCAACTGATTTTTTGCTGGAGTGCACTTTTTGCAGTCAGGACGTGTCAATAGCAACAATAATGTTTACTAGGCACAGCGTCTCTGAATGAAGTATTACAGATTCCGTTGCACTTGGTAGAGCGCACGGCATGGGTAATCGTTTCCAAAATGTGGCATAATCAGTCCGTATTGGTTGGAAGACGAAAAACAAAGAGCTTAAACGGTGAATATGGTAGTTACGCGATGGTGCCCAAGGAGTTGTGGATATCACTCAGAATAACTCAGATATCACTCAGAACCGAGATAACAATGGTTCTAGCATTACGAGGCGACCTTCCACACATCAAATCACACCCCTGGCTGACTGAGAGAGCGATTTAGAGAAGGCTGATCTCAGCAGTGGCATCGAGTGACCACCTCATTCATTGGACTTGAACGCCCCATATTTTTATTTATAAGATAATTTGAAGGAACAATGTGTATCAGAACAAACCTCAAACAATTGAATTAAATAATTTACTTCATTTTCATAGAAGTAATTGAGAAATTTATGGGTCCGTTTTTTGAGTAATTCCGTATATACATAAAAATTGGATAATTGTATACTGCGATGGAGCAATTGTATTTTCACATCACAATACAAACCTTAGTAAACCGTTGCTTTCATCGGGTTTAGTCACGGTTATTTTGCGCATCCCGTTACTGTCGGTGGTGTCATCAGAAGAGATTGGTTTCGCAATTTCTTTCGGAGCTGTTGAAGAAAAAAAATCGATTTTTTTTTTACGAAATCGGTTGGTTAAATATATATAATGCCAATAATTTAAAATAAAATAATATACGAATTCGTACAAATCAATTTCATTTTGACGTAACGCATTGACGATGCATGTAATTTTCGACTGTTTTCATTGGGGATAGTTAAATCATCAAAATGGTTAAAATGAATTAAAACATGTATTGTATTACAATACAAAGGACACTATATTTGGCATGAACTCTACAAAATACAGCGAAATATTATTTATTTTTAAATTTTATTTTAACGGGCATTTTGATTCGTTTGTGGGTAACTGGTCAGTTATGACGTTTTTTGCATGTCAACTATCGCATTTCAAAGACAAATTTGCGTATTTTTGCGTATAATGATTCAATAGTCATATACAAAACCTGGTGTTATTATGACTATAATTCTGAATGTTTTCTTTAAAAAAAGAACATATACGAGTGTAGGTTGTCCCAAGGCGGTGTGAAAAAACAAATATTATCTGAACCTTTGAACCGACAATAAACTGCGGCGTAATAACATTGATATTTCACATTGAAATAATAAAGATCGAAAGTCGCGTAAAATTGCCATTACAAGATCGAACAGTGATTAATAGCTCGAGCACGTATGGTTTGAATTCGGCGCAAAACTTTAAATTAAAAATAAATAAAATATTTCACTCCCATTTCGATCACAAAATTGACTTGGCCAACTTGAGATGGCCATGCCTCATCAATAAAGGGCAATGATTTCATCAAGTAAAAATATCGTTGGATATATTCCAGTACATAATTAGCTTTTGGCGCAACAAAGTTTGTAAAAAACGGAAGACCTACACTGCACATTTGGTACCAATTCTCACCAGAGTGAAAGAGAAAAAGCCGACCAGAGACGAAAAAATATTTATCAGTGATAAACTAACACTAAAAGTAAGTTGAAACAGATTGGTAATTCATTTAACCCCGCCCATTACATAAATTTGCTGTTCAGAAAACAGTCGGTCAAGCGGGTTGTCAAAATAGATGCGTTTTTAATACAGATCAATGAAATATGGCCAAAATGCAACTTTATGCGATAATAAATGTTGAACAAGTTGAAATTATGGCTAGCTGTAATACAAGTACAAGCACTGACGTTGAAATCATATTAATATGTTACGCTTGTATAGATAAGAACTGAGAGTTATATCTTCTTTATATATATTCATTGATATAAATTAATAACGAAGAATTCCTGTAGGAACGCAAATAGAGCTACCGTGGTGTACATTTTTGGCTCTATTTCCATGTCCCATATCGTCACAGTAATAGCAAAATTGTGTAAGTCATAAAAAACTTCTTAAATATATTATTATGCCATTAGGAGTAAATATTTTCCCATGGTTCACTTGTTTAGTCGTATTCGAAGTTATTCGTATGACGCCATAATGGCGCACTGTGACTTGTAAGAAATGTACCCACGATTTGGGGGCATACGCAACTTTGCAACCTGACTATAGGCCTATCTTTCAGTCCGGAAACCAAACATTCGAAAAATGTATGTAATTTATAGTATCTACGATGTCTAATCCTCAAACAGATATATCTGTTTTAATATCTTTATTTTTCGTTGTTTGAAATATCTATTTTATCAATATAACGCGCTCTGCACATACACCGAAAATAAGACTTCCCATAAATATTAAACATAAACAATAAAATAGCAATGCATCCTTTAATTAGAGACCAACCAATATGAATTGGACTGAGAAATTGGATATCACGAGTGTCCACCTTCCAGTGGTATAGCGTAAATTCAAATTTCAAGCGCTAATCTAGAATCTATAATGCAAAAACTTGAAAAACGCTTTGCCGATGGTTGTTTCGCCCTTGTGAAGTCGCAATAGTCTTATATTTAAACAATAATAATTCAGTATGACGGTACAATTGCAACAATGTGCATGCTACATAAATCTCCCTTTTTATGTGTTTTGGAATCCCTGGGATAAAATCCAAGTTAATAGATAGGTGAGCAGCATTGCATGATTAACTATATAAAAATCTGAAAACCGCCAAAAACTGACTTACGCAATTTGGATATTAGCATGGCGATATTTGTTTTTGATTTGATAACTAGTAACTACATTGATACGTGAATATAATTTTCAAATGAGTTTTTAATATCTGTTTCCAAAATATTGATAAATTATAAAAAACCTGCTGGTTTTCCAACACAATATCCGGTCGCATTCACTGCCTCGCTCAGCCCTGCACACCCGATAACTTGTATTGACACTGTGCAGTTTCTGTTGGGTACCGAAGTAAAAGTTTGCGATATCGATATGTTGAATGAGTCAATAAGGGGAGACTTTATGTTCGATCTTGTTGCAATTGTTGTGCAATATCTCGTGACCTGAGAAATATATAGATAATTAAAATATATATTCAATGGAACAGTAACAAGGAAAACTTTATTGGGCAAGTATGTAGTCGTAGCCGAGGTTTCCAATGAGTGAGTATGTAACCACTGTGTTTTGGATTACTCGTGGCGCTAAACCAAATGCGATTTTAACCACAGTTTTATCTAAGGCATTCAAACTTTAATTTTGACGGACGAAAAACTTATAACATTTGTATGTTCTGCCATATATATTTTAATATGGATAAACCTCATCCCAACTCTAAAATTGAAGAGTCATAAAAAAAATCATTGCCATTTTATTCGGGACAAGTTTACCCGGACCTATAGCCCTTTTTTAATTATTGCCAATTTGTCCAAAGAGTTTGTCTACAAGCACTCAATACTGCTTTAATTAAAAAATTTCTCAACATTTTACATAAACCTAGCTTGGAAGGGGCAATTTGACAATCCTGCCTGAGTGATCCTTTCTCTATTTCTCTAATTATTATGTACGTCACGTACTTTCAAACCTGTAACTGTTTCTGGTTTTTCATTATTCTTCCAAATCCATTGAATGGAACAGTTAGTTGATAGAGTTGCAGATAACACAGGTTCGGATATTCCACTTGTACTTGCAGTTTTGTTGTCTGAGTATTCATAGCTACACATGCTTTCGGACACACAAGCCTCGACCTTATACACATAAACATATTGGTATTATGTATTTTTCTCTAGAAACTTTTCCACACGACACGTTAAATTTAAAAATCTAAACACCAACATACCGTTACAAAATATTCTGTTGAGGCCTCCAGTCCAATAAGTTCCATATGTTGAGGCGTGATTGATGTAGGAACCGATGAATTCCAATAAACCTCTTTTTTGGTAGTCAAATTCCGTCCTGAGATTCTAAAATGAAGCGAAGTAGATTGTCGGTATATGTAAGTCCTACTAAATGAACAGACATTGTAGCTGTCGATGGTTAGCTATAACGAAATATTTATATATCCACCAAAAGTATATTCATACATTTATTATCTCAGTCATAATTTGGTATTAGATATGGTATCAGCTAAATTACATCGTAGCTTTATCTCTCAGCCATCGACATATTTATATCGACATGTACAACGAACAATCTATTATATATCTGCTTCATTGGCACTTGTTTAACGTGTTATTGATGTAGTTTTTTGTACCTGTGAATAACTCCGATAGCATTTTTGTTGGGTATCCATGTCACGATCAAACTTTGATTGCATGACGAATTGGTGACCGACGTGATTGATGGATTTCCTTCCACTAAAAGACCGAAATGGATTTCAGTAATATTTACTGTGCAATTTACGAATGCGATGATATTTGATCCAAAAATAATAGGAATGATATAATTTAATTGCGAAATAGCAAGTTACTACTGTCGCCTTCAAGCTTTCTGACAACGGCCCCATAGCAACCCGATATAGGAAGTAACACACAGAGAAAGGACCTGTCTATACGAATTAATTTATATCTCCCCTTGCCATCGCCGAAATACAAATATGGTAAATGGGCACTCCGCGACACAAAAGGGATATTTGATCAAATTAATAGTAAAATGATATTTTTGTCCGGTATTACCTGATATATATCAAGTATATATAATGACTTGTAGGCTACATTTTTATTGTAAACGAAGTTTACCTGTAACGTTATAGTCAATACCACTATAAGCATCTGTTATTTTACAGATGTATGTAGCAATATCGGAAATTGATGCATTCTCGATATGTAATATTGAATCATTTCTTTTGATTTGTTGATAAATTCCATATTGTTTGGGCATATTCTTGACAGGACTAAAGTTTCGGTACCATTGTACCTTCATATCCGTGCATGAATCTCTCAGTCTGCACACTATATTTTTATCATTTGAGCTAGCATGGATGGAAATGGCATCTGTAAACAATATAGATAGGTATTGTGATGAGTGAACAACATTTTAATAATGGTACTCTGATAAAACGAGATCATAGTTATACTAAGAACAAATATATATTTATATCGGACTGTACGATTTGAAAATCATGGTAATCGTCTTCGAAGTTGACCCGGATCACTGATTTTTATTGAAATTCAATTTATTCCTATAATATTCGTGAAGTTATTGTTACGGACTTCCAGTTGATGACACAGTACATTTTTGGCACAAAGAATAAAGCTACAATCGGTGTGATTCGTTACTAAAATTAACAGAAAGACTTCGCAATATAAGTAGATGCCAGACTATTTCTAAAAAACCGCCCTATTAAACAACGTCTTTTTATGATGAGTAAAAAATTTGAAACCAAAACTATTGCCCGCAATAAATTGAAAACTGACAGAAAGTATTTTCATTTGATGTACAATAATTTTCAATAATCTTGTTTCATACATCTTAATTTTATACCAGCCAAGGTTTTGCTGGTAAAATAGTTAAATCTGTTCTAGTTTATTTACTTATTTCCAATGTCCCATTTATATTTTTAGTGAAAGAATTGCCGCCATCGCATGTTATTTATCGGTAACTTTAATTTGAAATTTCAAGACTTTTGCAGGTATTCTATTCGTATTCTATTGGTCATGGTATCGTATTTGTTATCGGTTCGTCTCAAATAAAAATATGTTTATCAGACAAGTTGCGAGAAGAAGAACATAAACAAACTAATTTATGTCGTGTGTTGCATTTTTACAAAAATGCGACGATCTCGAGACTAGCTCTTCAGGAGCCACATTGGTTTGTGTATTGGTCTCAATCTCAGTGGTCTCAATTCAATGCAAACAGCGATTGCAGAATATATATTTAAAAGATTCGACTGTGAACGCGGAAAATATTCTTTCTAGTATTACTAGTACAGTTGAAACGTTTTTGGTTCTTCTCGACTTTGAGAGGCCTGAAACTCAACCCTGGTTGATTTGGGGTTCTCGACCCTGGTTATCTCACAATTGTCGTGTATTGAAATACTGCTTTCAATTTTGGGAACCATTTCTAAAAACGAAACTGACCTTCTTCTACTGCTATACCTGATAGTCTCGCGTTGCTACTTTAAACAACGATATTTTTGCTTCGCTTCCATGCAATTTATCGCATTTTTTGTCATGGTTTAGATTGGAAAATATGAAATGATAACCTGATTGACAAATGTAAAATAATTGATCATAGCAGGGGCTGTCAACCCATTGGTAACTGTCTCTTCCAATCAACAAACAATTTTCCTCACCACTATAATTGTTCGGCTGACCGGGTTTCCTTCAATAAATAAATGTATTTATCAATAAACTTATGGTAGATTTAATTTGTAGTGACTATGTATGTAATTGAGCTGGTTGTTACTCACAACGCAGTATATCAAATGCTTACGTTATATTTGAAAACTCCTATGTACAAATTTTATGAAATTTTTATAGGATAGGATAGAAAACACCAAATTGTTGATTTAATATTATTTCAGATCTAACCAGTTTTGATATCCTACTTCTCCTCTCATTATCATATCAGTACCATCCTGCCATTTCCAATCTCCTTCTGTAGCTCTGTCGTTGCCTCCAATGAAGTAGGAATTAATTGATCCAACGATTCTGGAATTTTCGAACAATAATAAATTTCAACCTAATGAGATAAAAATAGCCAAACTGCTTCCTTACTTGTTTTCTAATTTCAACATGCACTCAGAGTTTCGCATCAAAAGACGAATTAAGCTATTCATTTAGTAGATTCCTTGCCTATGTTAATTAGGCAAGTAAGATGTTTATACAGTTTTACTCAGTGTTGGGAAGACTCGTCTTCATAGACTTTATTAGAGTGACAAGCCAAAATTAACTCAACTTGGTCGTCTTACTTCGAGAAAAAAAATTACAAATGACATATAATGTGACACGTTTTGTTGCATCACGCTTTTCTTAATAGGACACTGGATGAAGCCAAGATTAAAACATTTCATAAATGGGAATCACTAATCCGAGTTTTCAGCTTGTTTTCTATAATATTCATTTTCGAAAATAATTGTTTGCATGCATATGTCTTTCAGAACATCGATGTGGATTTTTTCGCATGGTTTGCCAAATTTGGATAGAGTTTTATATAGATTTATTTCCTCATTGAATTGCATCTGAAAAAATTTAAAATATTTTCTGCGTCATTAAATCCTTTGCTCGTAGCGTTTGTTGCCATTCGTCTAATTATAATTAAAATATAGGCTTATCAAACGAGTAATTGTGAACTATATACTTGTTAGGTTATTGTATAATTTAGTCTACTCGTGACTAGCAACAAAATAGGAATATTATCGTCAAAACAGCCGTTTTGTTACTATAATTCAGTCGCGGGCCGTAGGTTGCCGACCTCTGCGTTAGACCCTAGTCATCTACCGGTAATTAAAATGCCTCAAACTAGACTAGACAATTTGGAGTTTTTAGAATTAAAAGTTATTCCGTGCACAAGTTAACACGCCAATTACTGTTGTTAAAAATCAAAAATGCTGGTTTGTTGCATCAATAAATTGGCTGTGATTCTGGCTTGTAATACCTCGAAATTGATTCAAAAATCAAGTTATTGTGCTTGGCTTGCACCCAATACCATTTTTTATAAACTCACTCAAAAGTTGCATTGATGACATCAGTCATTTTTTGATTATCAACTTTTGCCAAATATCCTCCAAGTGATTCACAGGCAGCTTTTGCTTCTTTGTAATTCTTCCGGGTATCATTGAAAAAAGTCAGTTCATACTGATCCACACATTTTGCTGTCCATGGAACTATATAGAAACAATTTGAGAATAACATTTGGCAACAATGTAATTATTAAAATACTAATCGATCGATTAAAAACGTAAAAATGCTAGTGATATTACTCAAGAATAGTGAGATAGTAATGGAAATTACCGATGGAATCGGTAAAAACCTGCAGAATCACAATTTTTCCGTAATAATTTTTTATGAGAAAATTAGTTTGCTTAGCGCAAAAAAATAATGTTCTTTTACTTCAAATTTGTGAAATAGTATGTTGTCTTATTTTTTTCGAGGTTGATCAATATCACTATAGGATCAATGTCAATACTAAGTTGAAAAAATAATCTTACTTTGTGCGTTTGAGACTCCAAGTTTTATTGACATAATGATAGAGAGTAATAATATTCCAAACGCGTGCATTTTCCCTGCATTTAAATATTTTCATTCAAATTTCCAAATACAGCTTGATCAGGATCAATATTGAAGACTTTCCTAGTTCCGATGCACAGTGCTATCCGAGTTCTTAATTATGGAATTGTTGAAACTATGCTATCGAAATGGTATTTAAAATATGTATCCTTTTTTAGTGAATCGATGACTAGAGTAAAGTCAAAATCTCGTATCGGTTTATCTTAGTAATAAATACCAATTCTTTAAAACAGCAGAAAAAACAAATCAAAAGTTCTTGTTGCCGCTCAGTCCAAAATATTAGTTAGTTTTAATGTCGGTATAGAAATGCAATAATCAATGAAAATGATTTTAAGTTGTTCTATTTTAAAGTAAGCTTTCGTGTTCCTGTTTCTACACGAATATGTGAAAATACTCATAGATTTCACATTAAAAGACACATATATATGTCCACTAATTCAAATCTTTTTTATTTGAGCTAAAGCGTTCGGTTCTCGTCGGCATGTGCGACAACACGTGTGCTCCCACGAAATAATAACAGTATAAAGGTAGATATATAAGAACATGACATGGCCATGACTACAATTCAAAAGATAATTGATAAAGTGATATCGAAATTGAAAAAAATGACATATCTGCAATTTTTCATCTCAATTCACTTTTATAAATTCTTACCGTAATAGGTATCGTTCAACCCCGTTGCTTTGAAGCATTATTACGCAGTTCACGAATCAGCTATACCTGCAACCGTTTTCACATTTCACTTTTATTATG